TGGTGGGGGGGGGGATTATGATATGAAAGGAGGGCTTTGATGTAAAGGAGGTCTCTGGTGTGAAATGGGGCTCCTGATGTCAAAGTGGGCCCCTGACTAGAGGGGGCTTCTGATGTTATGGGGGGTGTGTGATGTGGAGGAGCACTTTGGTGTGAAAGAGGGGGACTCTGGTGTGAAAGAAGGGGGTTCTAATGTGAAAGGGGCTTCTGATGTGAAGGGAGGCTCCTAGTGTGAGAGGTGGTGACTCTGATGTGAAAGGGGGGGGGTTTGTGATATGAAGAGAGCTCCCAACATAAACGGGACTCTGATATGAAAGGGAGGATTGTGAACTCCTAATGTGAAGTAGGGATCATGATGTGAAGGGGGAAACTCCACTTTAGTGTTTTTTTGCGTGATGTCCAAGATAGGGGTCTGGTTTGAATTTTGGAGATACCACGCATTGTTCTTGACATTTTTATATTTTCGACTTGGATGCCTGGAGATTTTGCTAACTTCTAAAGGGTGCCGTGATTAATAAAAATTTTGAGAAACGCTGTATTAAACCTAGGGAATGGATTTGCTTATCTTTAATGGAAACAAAAGATTTCTAATAAATATATCAGCTTAACTAAAGCAAGATTCTATGGCTCTTAAAGTCATCTAAAAGAATTTTATATATATTTGCCTAATATTGGTCTTTACATTTTTGATGTACTCAACTGTAAACTTCAATTTCCACGCAGGTCTCTCAATCTTAATGGAACCAGTTCTCTCCCTCATCCCACTGCCCGTTCTATTTGGTATCTTCCTGTACATGGGCGTCACCTCTCTGAACGGAATACAGCTGTTTGATCGGATCCTGCTAACTCTAAAGCCTCCTAAATATCATCCCAAGGAGTCCTATGTCACTCGGGTAAGAGCCTGCAGAGAATGATCATGAGAAGGGACAATAGGCAGCGCTAATGGAAAGGAGAATAGTGGGTGCGAAAGAAGAATGATGGTAGAAATGGCAATGGAAAGGTTGAAGATGAAAGTCATAATGGCAATGAGAATGATGAAGATGAAACAGTAAGATAAACAGAAAGATCTAGAACTAAGGGGCAGCTGCAAAACTTTTTCAGCTGGTTAGACTATCAGGGTTATTCCCAAAAAGGTGAAGAGTTTGGAGAAGGCCGGAGAAGTGATCAATCTAGGACAACATAGCTGAACTGGAAAGTGAGCTGAATTCTCCTGCCTTCTCCAAACTCTTCACCCTTTTGTGAATGACCCTGTATATCTTCACAATCCCTTCAGCAAAAAAAGATTATTTTTATTAATAATAACAATATTAATAACCTGATATACTTTTTCCTGTTGTGTATTATTAGATTATTATTATTATTATTATTATTATTCTGGATTTCTGAGGATGTTAAATGTTGCATTTGGTGGACATATAGGTATTTTGTCATTTGATTTTTTGGTGTTTGATTTTATGTATTTATTTATTTTATAACATGTTTGCTCCTCTTTGCCTGTTGGTTGACTCTCCAAAGAACACTTCACACACGCAATTTCAGGGTAAAAGCCTTGGACAAAGCCACAACTTGCTTTTCTTGGTGATTAATAATAATAATCTGGTATATTTTTTCCTGTTATGGTTATTATTAATAATAATAATAATCAACATAACAGGAAAAAAATATATCAGATTATTATTATTATTGTATTGGATGTTTTAATGCTTGGCTGTAGGCTGTATTACTGAACATTACATGTCATTCATTTTCCTCCTCTAGGTAAAGACCTGGCGCATGCATGTTTTCACTCTGATTCAGGTCATCTGCCTGGTGGGGCTATTCGCAGTGATGTTAACCCCTGCCTCCCTGGCTCTGCCCTTCCTCCTCATCCTCACCGTGCCAGTCCGCAGATTCCTTCTTCCCCTAATCTTCTCCAACCTGGAACTCAAGTGTGTAAGTATTTCTGATATCCCCTGCAAGCTTTTTGGCTGTTTGTGAGTCCATGCTGTACACAAAGAGTCCTGAATACAAGGGCACAGTCACATCATTATCAGACTGGAGTGCTATGGAGCGCAGCAACACAGGGTGCCCTACATAGAATTACTGTGTAATGACATATTCTGAACCAATGGTATTTAACATTATATGTATATGGCATCAAAGTAACAATACATCTGCCATGACTGTAAACTGATGACAGGTGGACCCAGGCACGGCATTCAAGTCAAACAATTTCTAAGCTATTTCAGATGCTGATGAAATCCCTTACAATGGATCCTGCTCCTTGATGTTTAAAAGTTTTAGATTCCTGCAAATTCAGCTGCTCCCCTTAGCCCTGTTCCTGATATCCTGTTTTTGGGTGACTCCTTTCCCTTGCAGGGTCCTATGGAGCCACCCTTGTGTGTGCCGGAGCCCTTCGGTTGAGTCATAATAGCCCGTACAGCAGCCGAAGGCGGGCGAGCGGCTCAGCCGACCCGAATGCATATGCTTCAGCTCGACTGAGCCGAAGTGACAGCCAAAGCGAGCCGGAGTGACAGCCGAAGCGGGGCGAACAGCTTGCCCAAGGTCGGCCGTTCGTCCCACAAATGACCTGGGGATGCTGAACTGTCAAAAAACAACAACAGGGCGTGGCCAGTCGTGACGTCACGGCCGGCTCTGCCCAGTTGTTATTCATTGGCTGGGACCTGCTAAAAGACTCTAGCAGGCGCCGGCCAATAGGTAACAGTTAGGTGGAGCTAGCCTCCACCCAACTGTTTTAAAAAAATATATATTTATTTCTTTTTTAATTTTACTATTTATTAAAAATTTTTTTAAATTTCAACCTCTGAACCGAAGTACAGAGAAGATGTGCGGCTGATTTCAGCCGATGTATGGCTGAAATCAGCCCTACAATCAAGAAGTGAATAGCCGAACAGCGTTCGGCTCACTTCACTTCGGCTCAATTATTCACTAACCCTGTATATTATTCACAAATTACGTATATACCATAGTATCAGCCATGATGATAAAACGGAATACAAAGTGGATTTACTGTATATCTATTGTGGATATATCATTTGATTTTTATACTGTATATCTATTGTGGATATACAATTGTATTTCTATTTTTATACTGTATATCTATTGTGGATATATCATTTGATTTTTATACTGTATATCTATTGTGGATATACAATTGTATTTCTATTTTTATACTGTATATCTATTGTGGATATATCATTTGATTTTTTAATGATATTTAAACTACATTTTTTAAATATAATTGAGATTATTTTTTGTTTTTACTTTTTATATTTTAAAGTTTACATTTATTTCCCGAAATTCAGCTTTAATACATTTCCCAAAATTGTAACGCGTGCTGCTATACGGTACAGACTGGCATTACCAAACACCAGGGAGAGGTAGATTTTTGTGCCTCCCGAGATTATCAGAGCTGAGAGGTGATATAATGCAAACAGACCCGGGCGCTGCCTAATATCATGATACTTTTCCTAACATATTTCACTTTGCGCTCTTTTAGTTGGACGCAGACGGCGCTTCTGTCAACATGGAAGAAGAAGAAGGTCAAGATGTCTACAACGAAGTTCAAATGCCTGTTTAAATTTCCTTTAGTCATCGTGAAGTTTTTATGTCACACTGCCAATGGAAAATTAGCGTTAAAAAAAAAATTTAATTTTGCTAAAAGTTTTTATTCACAGTCCATAGATGGCGCGGTATTATGAAGCTCTGAATTTTGAATCGGTGCAAACTATTACATTTCTTAATTATGAAAAAGTTTTTATATATATTTGTATTATTTGCTGTGTGCTTATCTTTCCAATCTTATGCAGAAATAGACAAAAAGCAAAACAAAATCTATTTTTACATAATAATTTTCTTTTTCTGTGTATTTTACCATAGAGAACCTCTTTAATTAAGTTAAATACGCTCCATTGTGTCCACCTTTCCAGCTTGTTTCTATTTCTGCTCAGCTTTTATTTTTATTTTTTTTATATACTATCTGCTTTGCTTTGAGAGAAAAAAAAGAAAGAAAAAAAAAATAGAGCTGTAAATATTCATTTAAAATAATATATTTAGATAATAATAATATATTTTACAGTCTAGGTTTGAGATATATGTTTATATATTTTTATCTGATTTCATTAAATTAAAGATTGAAACGTCCACATATGTGGTAGGAATAACTGACATTTTTTTTTTTCTTAAAGTGGCTACACAAGTTCTGATGTACAATCCGGTCAGTTTATGTTTCAATAGGGAAATACTAAAAAAAAAATCTAAGGCCCAAAGTCTTAAAGTGTGCAAAGTCTTAAAGTCAGTTTTCTTTAGAAAGCAAAGAGCAACGCTCCCTCTCTACAGCATGCTGGCAGGGGTCAGGCTTCAGGCCAGGCATACCTGCTACTGATGCTGACCTATAGCTCTGCAATAAGTAACGCATGTGCTCCCTGCTGATTGGAAGCTCTAGCTCTGACTCAGCACGGGACCTCTACTGAAAGACCACTGCTTCCAGACAAAGAGCAACTCTACATCTCTACAGCATGCTAGCAGGGGTCAGGCTTCAGGCCAGACATACCTGCTACTGATTCCAAACTATAGCTCTGTAATAACTAATGCATATGCTCCCTGCTGATTGAAAGCTCTAGTTCAGACTCAGTACGGGACCTCTACCGAGAGACCGCTGCTTCCACGCAAAGAGCAACTTTCCCTCTCTACAACATGCTGGCAGGGGTCAGGCTTCAGGCCAGACATACCTGCTACTGATTCCAACCTATAGCTCTGTAATAACTAATGGATATGCTCCCTGCTGATTGGAAGCTCTCAGTACAGGACCTCTACCAAGAGACCACTGCTTCCAAGCAAAGAGCAACGCTCCCTCTCTACAGCATGCTGGCAGGGGTCAGGCTTTTCTACTCAGGCTGTGGCTTCTCTCTAAAGAAAATGCACTATAAGGCTTTGCACACCTAATAAGCAATTCACAAAGGTAGCACACTGGGATAAGGATATTTATTCTAAAATAAAGTGACAGTTATTTTCTGCTGAGACCAATAGGATGTGAAAATTATAGCCACATGACTCAAATAGTACTTAGACTCGTGTTAAAGCTTTGTGAATTGAGCCTTTTGTCCTGAAGGTCAATTGACAATGAAACCTGAAAGCCGAGATCATAACATGTGTGGGCAGCTTTGCAATCTGCTTGGATGTAATGAAGATTTTCCATTTGTAACCAATCACTGTTTCCTACGACCTGACATAGATCACACCTTCAGATAAAACAAAATCGAATCCTATTGGATTGTTCAATCGGATGGCAGCACGTTTGATCAGGAAATCTCTGCTATAGATATCTTCTTTTGAAGTTCCAAAACCATGAAATATTAAGTCTTCAAAAAAAATGTTGTATTTGAATAAACTGAATTTTCTTTTTGTATTTTTTTTTTTTTTTAATGTTTTACATTTTGGAGAACAATGTTCGTATGGCAATGTGATGCTTTGCTAATCTGAATGTTTTAAAAACTGATAATGCAGTATTTTATACAAAGAATAAAAGACCTTTTTAAAATGTGTAAAAAAATGTCCTTTGTGTGGAACGGAATGTCACCATCCCGTGGATGCCGGAAAACGGGGAGTTTACTGTATTGGAATTATTTAAATAACAATGTAACTGAATGAATAATTGAATTGAAGGATACATGGGACTCTTAAAGGAGAAGTATTGGGAGAGTAAAATATATTCTTCCTAATAGTTTGAGCTGGCGTGGGACACTGCCGCTGTCACATGTCGGCTCTACATATCGAGAGGTGAGCGATCATGTGACCACTCATCGCTCAGCTCACTGACTCTCCCTACAGAGAGCAATGACTCTCAGTCATGGCTTCCCACAGGGATTCCCGCCTCCCCTGCCTGTTGCTCCATCACTCATTGGAGAGACAGACAGGGGAGGGGGCGGGCACAGCTGGCTCTGGCTCTAGAGAGGCAGAGCCAGCTGTCAATCAGGCAGCTGGGTGGTTATTGTCTGGATTCTTCCCAGCTCTAGCATGGCTTTGCATTGGAAGAATTCCAGTGCCGTGTTTTTTATTCAGACAGCCAACACCAGCGGCCATCTGAATACTCGAATAGGGACTGCAGCTGATTAAATCCAGCCACTGTTTGGCCAGCAATGATCCACCCATCTCAGTCGATTTTTACTTTTGATGAGCTGGGTGTTGCAGACAGGGCCACCCACGGCTCCAATTTGAGCTATGTGTAGCTAGCTTAGAGCTAGTAAATGGCTGTGTGAAGGGTGAGGTTTTTGCCATGTGCACAGCATACTTGCACATTATGACACACTTACCGTACAAGGCAGTGACGTGCTGTACCTTCGCTTCCTGGTGAGGTATTCTCCAGCCCGCCCCCAGCACGTCAAAGCCCCGTTTAGTGTGAAGGAGGAGCCTCCCTGTCCCTGACTTGCTCGTCACTGCTGTGGCACAGAGATCGATGGCCTCAGTGTTTGTTTTTTTTGATTGGACAGCCTTGACCAATGGCGCTTTGACATTGGTCCAAGCCATCCACAGAGCTCAAGCTTCTAACATAGGGTAGAGGCTGTGACAGCACTTGCCTCACCAAGTTAAGTTACACAAGCAGTGGGGAACCCCGCTGCTGTGTAACCTACCTGTCAAAAGCCGGATGCAGCGCTGCATGTAGTTAACAGGCAGCGCTCCGTCCATGACAAGTTACACAGTGGGGAGGATTTCTGTGCTGTGTAACCTGTAAGGAGCCGGTCTGAATGAACAAAAAGCTGTCAGCTTCAGACATGAAGCCGACATCTTTTTCCTCCATAATACTAGGTGAGGCTCTGCCTCCCCTGACTGCACGTCCTTGGTACAAGGTGTGCTGTCAGATCTATCTTTGGTCCCCCGCTACTTCCAGGTGATTCGTCTTCATCCATTGGGTGGCTGCTGATCATGTAATTTCTAACGCATGCAAACAGGTGTTACATCCGCCCCCGAGACCCGGTGTGTGCTGTGCAATGTACACAAAAAATCAGGGAAAAGAGGGAGACATTTTTGGCAGAATACACTTTGCATATCTTTTTGCGCCAAAACATCCCGACCTCCCAGCAATTTTTTATCTTTTAACTAATCTTCCACGTTAAGGGGCATTCTTCGCTTCTTCCCACCAGAGTAAAGGGGCCCTTCTCCAACCGACCATCAGAGTTTTGTTTCTGGCCATCACTATTGTTTATTTCATTTAATTATCATTTTTTATCATAATTTCTACTAAATATCATTTTGTTGTATAGACCAGCCCTGGTGTCAGATCTGGTATGTAGCCCACATCCTTCTTCCTGTATTTATTCTTATATATCAACTTACTGTTCACACTAATGTACTGCGAGCTGTAGTAATAACTATTGGCAGGGGTTCCCCGAGTGTTATTTTAAAGGTTTCCTCTGTGTTTAAAGGGGTGAGAAAGGCTGGTGGAATGGCATCAGAGTCTGGCAGCATACAGTGGAATAAACGTTAAATTTAGGACACACGTTTAGTCTAGACCCGTGGTTCTCCACTGGTGGGTCGTGACCCCGTGTTCAGTGGGTCACCGTATGCCGTCCCCTTTTTTTACGTGAGAGGCTCCTCTGCCACCCCCTAGCGCAGCACTGTCAGTTCTCACACCAAGCAGCCATTCAAAATCTGCTGCCTGGTGCCGAGTGTCAGCTTGAGGTGGAGCTATTGCCGCAAGAGAGCTCCATCCATACATGCATTGCATACAGCTCCTTCATGTGTCCTGTAGAGGTGCCTGGACCGGAGTGATGTTGCATTCTGGTTCACGACACCTCTACAGGGCACGCAAGGGAGCTGTACCAGCTGTCAATCAAGACGATTAAAAGCAAGTCTTACTAGTGATGTATCCGAATGGTCCATCTACATGTGGCTGTTAATGGAGACTTTGTAATGCATTTTCTAGCAGTCATGTATGTGTAGTGTTCATCTGCATGCAGCTGTCAATCAAGGCTGATCAATGCATGACGTAACAGTCATGTATACGAAGTGTTCATCTATCTGCAGCTGATCAATGCATGTCCTAACAGTCCTGTATATGTAGTGTTCATCTGTATGCAGCTGATAAATACATGCCCTAGCAGTCCGGTATATGAAGTGTTTATCTGTATGCATCTGTCAATCAAGACTAAACAATGTATATCCTAGCAGTTCTGTATATGCAGCTGTCAATCAAGGCTGATCAATGCATGTCCTAGCAGTCCTGTATATGTAGTGTTCATCCCTATGCAGCTGTCAATCAAGGCAGTGCAGCCCTGTATTCAGAGCCCTCCATCTGCATGCAGCTATCCATTCCATCCTGTCAGCCATGTCTGGCAGCCCTCCAGCCAGGTCCGTGCTATCCAGTGATCAGGGAGAGCACACAGCACAGCCAGCCTCCTGCACACCCTTCTCCCCAAACCTGCCCATTAACGCTCATTGTTACTCCTCTTCATTCCAGGCTAACGTCCGGACGTGATTGGCTCTCTCTCTCTGACGCTTGGAACAACAAAGGTGGAGTCCAGGAGTGGAAAAATCAGATTAAAAAAAAAAAAAGCGAGAGAGAGGGAAAAAGAGAGAGATCCATAGGAGAGAGAGAGAAGGGACAGCTCCAGTATAAGGGACGGCATGTGCCGGGGGCTCCTCCTGACAG